TTCCATGCTCTGCTGGCCTCAGATTGCTATCCAATATTATTGTTTTCAACAAAACCAAGGGAATAGAGCTTTTCCTTGACACTCCAAATCATATCAGCGCCTTTGGGCACCAGTAAGGCAGCCAGTCCCACCAATACTGCACCATGGAGCTGGGGCAGGGGCAGGTGGAGTGAGAACGGGAGCAGTTCTAAGACAATGTGTCACACAATTGGTTGATCTTACCAAGGTTCAGTAGTTTCTCTTGAATAAATGCTTTTCGGCTTGTTGTTCGCCTTTGGTTGATTTCCAGAGTTCTGAAGTAATTCTTCTTAGTAATTTGCTATTTATTTCTTAGTTGCTTCTTTTGGGAGAGAATGTGTCAAGGTCCTCTCTCTGTTCTTCTGGAAGTTCCCCATGGGTATAATTCAAAATTTTCTGTTTTAATTTAATCTAATATATCAAAAATATCATTTAAACATGTAATTTATATCAGTATTGTTATTATTATCATTTTGTAGAGATGGGGCTTCGCAATTTTGCCCAGGCTGGTCTTGAACTCCTGGGTTTAGGAGATCCATCTGCTTCTACCTCCCAAAGTGCTGGGATTACAGGCCTGAGTCACTGTGCCTGGCCTATCGCAGTATTATTAATGAAGTATTTTGTTTTCTTTTTTTTTTGTACCAAGGTTTTATAACTGATACATATTTTACACTTACAGCTCATCTCAATTTGAACTAGTTACATTTTCAGTGCCTAATAGCCACGTTGGCTGGTGGCTACAAGATTGGACACACAGTTTTAATTGTTGCTAAAGAAATGCTGCTGGTTTTCAGATATTAATCTTATGTGTTGTCACCTTGCTAAATTCTCTTGTCATGTCTAATTTCCTGTCTTTAAATTATTTGGGGCTTTCTAGGTAAAAGATTGTATCATCTGCAAATAATAATGGGCTTGTTTCACCTCTTGGTCTTTACACGTCTTATTTATTTTTCTTCTGTTACTGTGTGCTACCCTAAGGTGACCAGTACAGCTACAAATGGAAGCAGTGATAGTGGGCAACATTGTCTTGTCAGATCTTACAAGAAATATGGTTAACATTTTGCTGTTAAGAATGCTGTCCGTAACAGGTGTTGATGGCAACTTTTCATTAGATTGAGATGGTGCCTTTCCATATCAAATTCATACACACACATTCTTGGTGGGCATTTTATTTGCTTTTTATTCTTCTTTTGAGGTGATTACGTGGTCTTTATAGTAATATAAAATTACATTTAGAGTTTCTTTAACTTTAAGCTACTTTTTTCATTGGGGGAAAAACCTTTTATATATTACACTTTTCTGGGTCATTGTCGCAATTTTTTAAAGGCTTTTTGTGTCTATGTCCATGAATGAGATTGGCCCCCACTCTTTATTCTCCTGTAATTCATTATTCAGCCAGAAGCTGGAAAAGTCTTAGAAATACTGAACTCATTACTTCTCTATAGAAAGCTATCAAAAATTTCTAAGTTTATTTAAAACAAATTTAAAACCATTATTCCGGCCAACAAGGCTTTACAAAATCTAGTATATCTTATGCTATTCTCCATTTACCTTCAGCCTTTTTCAGTGCTACTCAATGTTTTTCTGGATAGCTTATCTAGTTCATTAAGACAAGAAAGATAAATAAATGAATTGCAGAAAACAAACAAACAAACCCGTCATTATTTGTGGATGCTATCATTGTATGTATAGAAAATGGAAAATACGTCTGTAATCCCAGCACTCTGGGAGGCCAAGGTGGGTGGATCATCTGAGGTCAGGAGTTCAAGACCAGCATCATGAAACCCCGTCTCTACTAAAAGTACAAAGATTAGTTGGGCATGTTGGCACACGCCTGTAATTCCAGCTACTCGGGAGGCGGAGACAGGAGAATTGCTTGAACCCGGGAGACGGAGGTTACAGTGAGCCGAGATCTCACTACTGCGCTCCAGCTTGGGCGACAGAGTGAGGCTCCATCTCAAAAAAGAAAAGAAAAGAAAAGAAAAGAAAAGAAAAGAAAATGCCAAATAAGGCCCAGCATGGTGGCTTCTCCTATAGTCCCAGCACTTTGGGAGGCTGAGGAGGGCAGATCACTGAAGCTCAGGAATTTGAGATCAGCCTGAACAACATGGTGAAACAACATCGCTACAAAAAATACCAAAAAATTAGCCAGGCTTTGTGGTGCAGGCCTGTAGTCCCAGCTACTGAGGAGGCTGAGGTGCGAGAATCGCTTGAGCCCAGGAGGCAGAGGTTGCAGTGAGCCAAGACTGTGCCACTGCACTTCAGCCTGGGCAACAGAGCCAGACCCTATCTCAAAAAAAAAAAAAAAAAAAAAAGGAAAGAAAGAGAAAATGCACAACATAACCTGTAAATCATTAGCAAAGTGGATGGATATAAAATCAGTGTAAAAAAATCAAATATGTTTCTGTCAACAGTATATCTTAGCAAAGATTTATCATTCCTACCATTTTACCTTATGGTAAAAATGATAAAACTTTGCTAAGGTATCTTGAGGAAGACCTACATGAAGATACCAAATTCACTGGGTAAAAGACTCAGTATTAAAAATATGGCCCATTCTTTCCAAATCGATCCATTAGATCAATCACAAACAAAATCCCAATGGGGCTTTTTGTAGAAACTGAGAAGCTGATTCTAAAAAAATATAATAAAACTACAAAGAGCCAAGACTGACCAAGTGACTTGAAGAAGAATAAGGCGGGAGCACATGCTCTAACAGATATGACAGTAAATCTGTAGTGACTAAGACACCATGATGTCGGTACAAGGATAGATAAGTAAACCAACAGAAAAGAATAGAGAGCCCAGGAACGGATCTCCGTGCATTGGGTGCCTCTGGAAAAAGATTCCGGACTCTGATATTTGCGGCAAGAAGTTTCATAAGGAGCATTCTCAGTAAGAGGACCTTGAGGTAAGGAGCATTCTCGGTAAGAGGACCTTGAGGTGAGCAGATGTGCTGCTTCAGCTGGTCCTCTCAGGAAATCTGGGTCTGAAGTCACCCGTTGCTTCAGCTGGTCCTCTCAGGAAATCTGGGTTTGAAGTCATCCTTCACAGTTGTCCCAGTTGAGTTAGGAGGTCCCGATCTTTATATTCCAACGGTGACCAGTCATTAGAGATAGGCTGACCCCAGGGAAGGCATGTAGCTTTGAGAAAGAAGCTTCCTTAGGTTGAGGGCAAGGAAGGTTTGTAGACAGTGAGTCATCTGTAAGCCAGTAGCCGGAGCAGTGAGTGTGCTGGTCCTGAAGTGGCATATGGGTGGCACAGCACCATGTCCACTGCAGGCCACCCTTCCACTGCAGTAAGCCCATGCCGTCTGGAGCTACTCTTCCAGGTTTCTGGCTGGTCTCTTTTCCTGAAGAGGAGATATGTTAATGGGATGAGGTTTGGCACCTTCTGCTACAGCTGGTTTCCAGGCCACAGCTGGTACCCACCGTCTCCCTCTACTTTCCAGCTTAGATTCTCTGCACCTGTGGCTAGCTCCTTTGCTGGAAGGTAACCCAGGCCCTCAACCCTGTGTGGTCTAAGCCCCGAGTCACCCTGTCCTTCTCAGGCCACGGATTACTTACTTGTCCATTTACTGTTAAGACTGGGAAAGAGGCTGGGCATGGCTGTAATCCCAGCACTTTGGGAGGCCAAGGCAGGCAGATCATGAGCTCAGGAGTTCAAGACGAGCCTGGCCAACATGGTGAAATCCCGTCTTTACTAAAGATACAAAAAATTAGCTGGGTGTTGTGGTGTGCACCTGTAATCCCAGTTACTCGGGAGGCTGAGGCAGAAGAATCACTTGAATTTAGGAGGTGGAGGTTGCAGTGAGTTGAAATCGCCCCATTGCACTCCAGCCTAGGCGGTAGGTTGAGACTCTGTCTCAAAAAAAAAAAAAAAAAAGACTGGGAAAGAGGGTACCAAGATCACCTGAATTGGTCGCTCAGTGTCTCACTTATCTTCGGTGTCCCCATGATGTAACAGCAGTCCCGCCTCCTCCTGATCATCAGGGTTAGTCACCTCCAGCAGGATTCTGACTCTTTTTCTTGCCTTCTAATCTCTTGGCACAAGGCACCCAAATAAGGGCAACAGGTCAGCTGTAGCTTAAAGTTTAGTGGGACTTTTTCTGTGTCTTTCTGCATTGTCCCTCTGAGACCTAAGACCTCTCGACCCACAGAGTGTAGAATTGTGGGGAAACGAAGCACAGATTCTCGTCATGGTGTTTTTGCCCCATCACAGATCTCTCTAATACTGCAGGGTCTTCCAGACTTTGTAGCCCAAGTGACAAGGCTGTGTACGCCAGAGCTGAAACCTGCTCTCTTGCCATTTCCTGCTCTGGGTCTCAATCCTGAGTGGCCCTTCCTATGGTCATGGCTGGCCTTAGAGGATGGGCCCCACCGAGCTTCTCGGTGATGCTGGTGACCCTCTCGTCAGCACTTATCTCCTTGGAGGATGGAGCCTCCTCTAGGCCCTCTCACAAGGCAGAGTCAGCTGATGAGTTTTCTGGCCTTGTAGAGCACATCCCCTCTAGCATATCTCCTTCTGGTTCTTATGTTCCCCTCGTCTGCCATTTTCCACAGCACTTCCAGCATTTGCACTTCATGCAGGGTAAGTGGCACTCTCCCCAGGCTTCATCTCTAGCAGCACATTAGCTTTGTCTCCCAAGGGCCTTGCCCAGGTATTAGTCCTGTGTCACAGCAGAGTGCTCCCGTATCAATAAACTCGCCCTCCCCAGGCTTCTGTTGCACAGCCCTTGATGAGCACCTTTGCGATCCAGCCCATGTTTCCTCTTTCAGCTCCTGCCAGTGCTGTGAAGCAGGTTCACTGTTGACTGTGCTCTACTTACCGCACTGTCTGAATCTGGTGAGACAGAACACCCACATATAAATTACATGAAGAAGGTTTATTTCTTACTCATAGGCAGCAAGGGACAATGGAAGCCTGGAATTCGTTGGAAGCTAATCCCCAGGGCTCAGGAAAGCCGCCTGAGGTTGGATTGGAGTTTGGCTGTGTGTATGCTCCACTTGGACTGCAGCCAAATGGCCATGAAAGAAAGTACATCCTGGGATTTATGCCCCAGGGCAACGTGACTCACTGGAATAAGACACGAAGGACATCCTGCTTCTGGGGCAGGGGGAACTGGAACAGAGCCCAGGCCTTTCCAGCCAGTTTCTCCTTATCTCACGTTGTTGTGTTCCCAGCACATTCTATGGTTTTTCTTGAGAACTGCAAGTAAGAAAGAGGAGAGAACTGGGTTGGTCCAAGGCCATCTGCAGAACTGTCCTGCAAGTATTTGTTGCCAAGGTCCTGCAGTTCCTTTGCCTATGGTTCTTTCCTTCCCTTAAGACGACCAGCACTTGCCTGGCCAGATTACATTGTACCTTGACCCTAGTTACTGGTCTTGGGATTGGGGAAGAAGGGATTGATCTTGAGAAGGGTGCATGCTTTCTTTAAAGGAGAAGCCTTCGGATCTTTTTTACATCTTCAAGCATGGAAGCAGCACTGACTTTTAACAGGGAAGAATGGGCCACTTCTGCAGACCCAGGAGGTTCAGCGCAATCTGAGAATGCAAGATTTTTTAGTGCATCAACACGGATATCCCTATTTCAAGTATCAGGCTCCTATTTGTTTGCAATTAGGATCCTGACTTTGGCATAGCAAACCTACTGGAGTTGAGCATCCAACCTTCTCTGAAATTCTACTATTCTTATGTCTAAGTCCTGTGAGTACTTGCCATATTCTCTTTCTTGACTTAGTGATTGATTTCGTATTTGCTTTATGAGTTTTCAACTCTATGTGCTATGGTTTGAAAGTTTTTGTTTCCTTCAAAGTTTGTGTTGAAACTTAATCCCCAGTACAACAGTATGAAGAGGTGGAGCCTTTAGGAGGTGATTAGGCCATGAGGGCTGTGCTCTCATGAATAGATTAGTGCCTTATAAAAGGGCTTAAAGGGATGAGTTCACCCCTTCTACCTGTTGTGTCATGTGAAGATGCAGCTTTTCTCACTTCCAGAGAAAACAATGTCCATGCCGCCATCTTGAAAGCGGAGACCAGGCCCACACCAGACACACCCAACCTGCCAGTACTTTGATCTTGGACTTTCCAACTTCCAGAATGGTGAGAAATAAATTTCTATTATTTGTAAATTACCAAGTCTGTGGTATTTTCTTATAGCATCACAAATGGACTAAGACACTATGGGAAAGCTATGGCCACACAGGCCAAATAGCCATACCCATTCACTTACCTATCATTGATAGCTGCTTTCCCACTACAGTGGCAGAATCGAACAGTTATGGCATTGTATGGCCCACCAAAGATGAGAATATTTATTATCTAGCTAGTTACAGAAGAAGTTTGTTGAGCCCTGCGTTCTACCATATATTTTAATTTTCTCTTTTGTATATGTATTATATCTCTTAATCTAAAAAAAGAAAGAAAATCTAGCAGCTATCCACTCATCCTGAGAACATATATATAATTATTATGTCTTCCTATAAACAGTTCTTTGATTATTTAAAACCAATCTAAATATTTGCCAAGGGCCTTCGTGGTGAAGGCTTTGCACACCAGCCTGTAATTTAGGTTTGGGGATTAGTTGAGTGACACTTGGGAAACCTGCAGCCCACCAATCTCACCTCACTCTTTTATTCCCCTTCATGCTGCAGCAGGCAAATTCCTCGGTTCAAGGAGGCCCACCAGGTGGCTGTCTGGGGGTCATCAAAGGTGACCTGAAAAGCCCTTTTCTGCACTGGAGACATGACAATGGAATAGGGACAACATCTCTTAACATCAGGAAGGTTACCAGAGGTGACTTGCTGGGAGAAAAGGTGAGAGCAGGGAAGAGACCATGTTTACTATTTGGGGGCATAGTACATTTGGAACAGCGACCCTGGGGGTCAGTTATAAGGCATACGGATGAGCAGAAGGATCCCTAGAGAGCTTTACTCCCAGACAGGAGGAGATGGAGACGTGTGTGTACGTGAACTTGTTCACTGAGAGCAGCTGTGATGATGTACCTAAAATCGGAAATGTGGGTAGGAGTGACAGTGTGCCAGAGCCTAAGACAGGGGTGGTTGGTGGGTCCTTTGGGGAGCGACAAGGGGGTAGTGGCTGCAGCCCCTCCCCAGAGTGTGTGTGTGTGTGTGTGTTATGGTGAATGAAGGGGAAGGGATCGTGGTAATGCATGATATTGCAAGGGTGATGGGAGCATTGGCTTGCTTCTTCATCCTTACAGCTGGGGTTGACGCATATTTTCCCACCTGCCTCTTTGTTAAAATCTTTGCCTTTTTAAGCAGCTGAGAAGGAGGGCGGGGGTAGTGTCATGTTGTGAGCTGAGTCACAGGAAACTTAGGCTGTCAGACACATATGGGGAAAGGGTGGCAATCTGAGAGGTAGGAAGAGGATATTTCAGGGGGAGAGTGGAGGAAGCTCAGTGAAAGGCAGCTTGGTAGCTCCTGCTCTACCAAGCATTTTCTAGCTGGATGGTGATCACATAGGTCTTTCTGATCTCCTCAACCAGGTTGCAGCTGCCGTAGTGTTCTGATAGCCAATAGCTCACTTCCCGTCCTTTCTGTTCTCCTTCCTGTAGGGTAGAGAGTACTTCGTGGGGAATGTGGTTGGAAGAGCTGGGAAATGCCTGCTTCTGTGGGGCACAGGCTTCCACTCAGAACACGTGGCTGGATCTAGTGCAGGGTGGGCCCTGCTCCATCACCACCCTTGACATGAAGTGGCATTGTGCGCCTTCGTCTTATTTTCCTTAAATAAGAGATGCTTTTAATTTAAGAAATTCAGCCAAGAATTCTGTTGCCTCTGGTCCTCGTCTCCATGTCCTTACATGCCCCACGGCTTGAAGGCGGGGAGCTCTCTCTTCAGGGCCTGCGTTGTTCTCGTAACTTCTGTCCTGCTATGCCAATCCTCAAGCCTAGCGAAAAGTGATTGGAGAGACTTAAGAAAAGAAACTAAATCGGGCTAGGCGCAATGGCTCATGCCTGTAATCCCAGCTATTTGGGAGGCTGAGGTGGGCGGATCGCCTAACGTTGGGAGTTTGAGACCAGTGTGACCAAAATGGAGAAACCCTGTCTCTACTGAAAATACAAAATTAGCCAGGTGTGGTAGCACATGCCTGTAATCCCAGGTACTCGGAACCCTGGAGGCAGAGGTTGCAGTGAGCTGAGATTATGCCACTACACTCCAGCTTGGGCAACAAGAGTGAAACTCCATCTCAAAAAAAAAAAAGAAAAAAAAAAGAAACTAAATCAACATAAGCAGCTTTGATTATTTCATAAAGTTACCTGTTCTCACTTTATTTCAATGTAAAATGAATCTAGGAAAAGTATTACTAGTTATTCAGGAGCTACAGAGGAGTGTTGTGATGGTAATCTAATATTCTTACATTTTAGAATATGTCATCTTCTGCTTTCTGTTATTGTTTGTGTGTGTGTGTATGTGTGTGCATGTGCGCTTATGTTGTGTGCATGCACACCGTAGGGGTTCAGGAAAACACCAGTGTTATCCTGTGGATGTAAGTATGTTTAATCACCTTTGTTAGTTGAGGAAGAGTATGGTGGATGACATTATTGTTCACCAAATATTCACTCCTTCTCTGACAACATCCGTGGGAAGAGGATAATGCCCTGCTCTATTGGTATAGGCCTCAGCCATGTCACTTGGCCAGTTAAATGTAGGTAGGAGTGACGGTGGGCCGCTGCCTAAGCCTTACAGTGTTCTGGGTGTTTCCTTTGCCCCTCTTACACTCCTGCCTTTCACCTCAACCAGAATATGCCTTGGATACATACTGGTCCGGGGAGGAGGAGAGACTCATGAAGGCAGCGTAGACCCAAACCCCAGCTTGGACTCAAACCAAGCTGGGCCTCTCCGAGATCAGCCAAACGCAGCCAGACTGCAGATGCGTGAGTGAGAAAGAAAGGCTTGCGGTGGGCAACTGAGTTTGGGGGTGTTATATACACTCTTGTAAAATTAGCTAACTGGTATGGAGACTTCTAACGTCCTAATGTCTAATCTCCCCTTCTTCCTTAGCAGTAGTTCTCCTACCCAATAGTTAGCTGCTGCTAGTCACTTAGCCTAAAGATTGTATGTTTCTGACTCTTGCAGATTGGTAAGGCCTTGTAACTAGTTCCAGGGAATAACAAGTAAGTAGAAATGTTCCTAAATGGAGAGGGTGTACATTTCTGTTCTTTGCCCTCCTCCCATGGGTATAGCACAGGTGCGATGGCTACATCAGGGATCCATAAAGTGCTGCCTAGTGGCTGGCAAGATGTTTCTAAAGTTTTATTAGAATATAGTCATGATGGCTGGGCACGGTGGCGCACATCTGTAATCCCAGCACTTTGAGAGGCCAAGGTGGGAGGATTACTTGGGCCCAGGAGTTTGAGACCAGCCTGGGCAACCCTACCTATATTGAAAATTTGTACAAAGTAAAAAAGATAAAAATATATAGTCATACATATTCATTTGTACATGGTCTGTTGCTTTTGGATTACAAAAGTGGAATTGATTAGTTATGATAGAGACTTTGTGGCCAGCAAAGCCTAAAATATTTAGTCTCTGGCTCTTTAAGCATGAATTTAGTCACCCCTGGCCTAGAATATGAATTGCCTCCTTATACCATAAAGAACCTGAGAAAACAATATGCTGTAATACAATGCTTTTTCCCTGGGAATTTCTTTCAATATTTACTAGTGTCCATCCACCTTTTAATATTTTTCAGAGATGGGATCTCACTCTGTCTCCCAGAGTGGAGTGTATTGGCGTGATCACAGCTCATTACAGTCTCAAATTCCTGGGCTCAAGCAATCCTTCTGCCTCAGCCTCCTGTGTAGCTGGGACTACAGGTATGTGCCACCATGCTGGGCTAATTTTTTTTTTTAAAGTTTTCGTAGAGACAGGGTCTCACTATGTTGACCAAGCTGATCTTGAACTTCTGTCCTCAAGCAACCCTCTCGCTCCAGTCTCCCAGGTACCTGGGATTCTAGGCTCAAGCCATCGACTTATTTCTTATTTAATTAATTATTTATTTATTGAGATGGAGTTTTTGCTCTTGTCACCCAGCTGGAGTGCAATGGTCTCAGCTCACTGCACCCTCTGCCTCCTGGGTTCAAGCAATTCTTCTGCCTCAGCCTCCCCAGTAACTGGGATTACAGGCACCCGCCACCATGCCCAGCTAATTTTTGTATTTTTAGTAGAGACGACGTTTCACCATGTTGGTCAGGCTGGTCTCGAACTGCTGACCTCAAGTGATCCTCCTGCCTTGGCCTCCCAAAGTGCTGGGATTTCAGGCATGAGCCACCGCGCCTGGCCCATCTACTTATTTTTAACTGATACTTGAAAGAAGGAATCATTATCACTAATTATAGTATACAATATTTTCTGGGCATCTTAGTCACAGACACTTTATTGATATGGGATTGAACCTTTCATTGGGTTTCTATTAAGGATCATGTGAAGGGGAACGGGGACTGAGACCTGGGAAGTATATATATTCAAGAGTCTTCCATGTGGGTGCTGGTGAGAGGCACAGGGGTGAACAGGGTTAGCAGGGACACAGTAGAGCAAGAACAGGGCTGAGGACGAAGCCCTGGGAGCAACAGAACTTGTCGGCTGGGAATAAGAGCCTGTGAAGGAGGCCAGAAAGTCAGGAAGGGAATGCCAGAGAGAAGCAGACCTCAGGAGCTGTATAAGGGAGGGAACTGAATTGCAGCAAGAGTGGTGTGAAAAGCTAAAGAAAGAACATGTTGGCTAGGAAATAAGAAGAGAGTGATTTAAAAAATTAGGAAGTCCATTAGCTCAGTATGGGTGTGCATGCCTGTAGTCCCAGCTACTCAGGAGGCTGAAATGGAAGGATCACTTGAGCCCAGGAGGTCGAGGCTGCAGTGAGCTGTTACTGTGCCACTGCACTCCAGTCTGGGCAACAGAGTGAGATGCTATCTCTACTTAAAAAAAAAAAAAATTTTAGAAAGTCCCTAGTTATCAGGGAATAGCAAATTTAAACCACAATGAGCTACAATTTTCCCTCCCCCACTAGAACGGTTAGAATGAAAATTAGATAATATCAAGCACTGGCAAAATGTAGTGAAATTAGGCCAGGCGCAGTGGCTCACACCTGTAATCCCACCACTTTGGGAGGCCCAGGCGAGCAGATCACGAGGTCAGGAGATGGAGACCATCCTGGCTAACACAGTGAAACCCCGTCTCTACTAAAAATACACAAAAAAACTAGCCGGGCGTGGTGGCATGCACCCGTAGTCCCAGCTACTCGGGAGGCTGAGACAACAGAATGGCGTGAACCTGGGAGGCGGAGGTTTCAGTGAGCTGAGATCGCGCCACTGCACTCCAGCCTGGGCCACAGAGTGAGACTCTGTCTCAAAAAAGAAAAGGAGCGAAATCAGACCCTCCACACGTGGATGAGAAGAATGTAAAGTGGTGCAGCCCCTTTAGAAAAGTCTAGCAGTTGCTCAAATGATTAAACTGTTACCATATGACCCAGCAATTCCACCCTGGGTATATACCTAAGAGAATTGAAAACATGTGTTCACAAAAAACGTATACATGAATGTTCATAACAGCACTATTCATTACAGTCCAAAAGTGTAACAATCCAAATGTCCATCAGTGGAAGAATGGATAAACAAACTGTGGTCTTTCCACACAGCAGAATATTATTCAGCCATGAAAAGGAATGAAGTGCTGACACATGCCACAGCATGGACAGACTCTGAAAACATTATGCCGAGTGAATGAAGGCAGTCACAAAAGGCCATACGTGGTATGATTCCATTCAAATGAAAATACAGAACAGGGAAATCTACAGTGAAGGAAGTGGATTAACAGTTGTTTAGGGCCAGGGGAAGAGGATGGGACTATGGGGAGTGAAAGCTAAAGGGTGTGGGGTTCCTTTTTGTGGTGATAGAAACCTGCTAGAGACCATCGAATTGTGAACTTCACATTGGTGAAGTGTATAGTATATGAAACATAAGGCTCAGTGAAGCTGTTTAAAAAATTAGGAAGTCACCGGTAGCTTCGAGGAAGGATTTTTAATCAAGTACAGAGTGATGAGGCCAGGAGCCCAAGTATGGTATGTTGAGGGTGATTGGGAGTTGCAAAGTGATGAAGGGGAAGCAATGCTGAGAGGTTATGTCAGGTTTGAGAAGATGTGAGGCTGCCTGGAGAGCAAGAGGAGGTAACCTGTCAGTGGAGAGGAAGGGGGGTCGTCAGGGAGACAGTGACAGTTGATGGAGACAGGGCCAGAGAACGTTCTCAGGGGAGGCACAGGTGGCAAGTGGAGCTTTTGAAG